GTAGTTCATACAAAATTGAAATCGCTAAGAAAACAAGTTTGTATGAACTACGGTTAGGAGAATTCTGGCGAGAATGCGGCCGCTGGTTTCCAACGACAACTTGAATATAACAATGGCAAATGACAACATCCGAAGATCGCTTCCGAAGTTAAATTTCGTTTAATTCTTCGCTTGAAAACCAACACCGTCAATGTGACCAAAGAATATACATACACGTTCACTACAACAAAACGATGAAATTGCTAACAATAAAGAAATTCGGCATATTGCTAAGGCAAAAACTGAATTCCATATGAAAGGAAAATTTCGTGGCCACAAAACCAAATCTACAAAATGCTCACCGCTTGTTGTCTGTTCAGATGTTTGGTGCTCTTGATGCATTCGGCAAAGTGTTCGGTGATTTGCATTTTGTGTTTTGATGGCACCAACGGGTAGAGTCGGCCATAAACCGTGATTGCTGCGTCGATGACGGCCGTCGACGCGGGCAGAGGCTCTGGCCACCAGTAGTCCACGTCCGCTGAGCTTCTTTAATATTCACAAAATATTATTCGTCAAAAATTAAACATCGTTTCACCACTAATGTCACAAATGATCTTTTCTCTTAACTAATAATCGCAAACATCTCAAAATATATAACATCACTAAAGGATTCAACATCACCAAAGCCTTTTCCAATAGATGCGAGTTGAGATTTCTCACAAATTTACAATCAGAAATATACAAAAACTGTTTGAATATTGAAAACGATTGCGGATTCGAGTGCGGTTTGAATACGGAAATTAAAATTTTAAAAAATTTCCAATGCAAAAACAAAAAGAGCTTCAAAAACCAACTCGATTAAACACAACGGATCGTTTTCGAGCGAGCCACAAATGTTGTTCTGTGAGTGATACATCTGCAAACGCAACCAATATTATTCAAAAACAAATGAAATGCAAATAATAAAATTAAACATTAAAAAAACTCGGATTTTGGCTAAGACATTAAGCTTAACGATGATCACACAATGTGAGGATACTGCAGCAACTGGTGACGACGATAACGGCGACAATACAACCGGTCGAAGGGCGCATCTTGGAATAACGATTTTGCTCGTGGAAATATTGCAATCACTTCAGAATCATTTCGGTATGGTTCAGCTGATTTCCAGTAAGCAAACAGGGCAACACAACAAGCACTAAGCATTGCTTCCTCTTCAGAATCGCTCCTTTACATCTCACCTCTGCTCTAACAAATCGCTTCTTCGCATAGTCTCAATAAATGAATCGTCAATCCTCAATAGTGCACTGCATCATATCTTAAGAGTGTCATGCACTACTCCATCACTAAACTTATCATTAATTAATCACCACTGCTGTTAGTTGTCATGCCCAACACAGTAAGCACACTTCACCAATGTTACGAACACACAAATACATATTTATAAGCTTGTGGAAACACTTAACCACTCATATATTTACTAATAATACTTCATAATACTTACTAATGAAACTTATTCTTCCGCAACAAAATATGCCCTCTTCGTTTCAACGAAACATCAA